TTATTATTATTATTATTATTATTATGTTGAAAACAGCTGAGTAGAATTTTTCAGGTTTCTTTGATGAATAGAAAGTTCAGAATAACAGCATTTATCTGAAATAAAAATCTTTTGTAGCATTGTAAATGTCTTTATAATCACTTTTGATTAATTCAAAGCATCCTTGCTAAATAAAAGTATGAATTTCTATAATCCCACCTCCCAAAAAAATTGTATAGTGTATAATGTTACAAAAGCTTTTTATTTCAGATAAATGCGGATCTTTTGATCTTTCTATTCATCAGAGAATCCTGAAAAAAATTATATTCAAATAGAAAACAGTTATTTTAAATAGTAAAAATAAAATTCACAATATTACTGCTTTTGTTGTATTTTGGATCAAATAAAGGTAGTGTATATTATTCTTATTTTAGAATGAATGGCTGTTATGTAAAAAATATAGTTATCCTTAATGGCAAAGCACTCGTGATGGTCCATCCCGAAGTGAAGAACTGGATCAAGTACGCTCACTTCGAAGAGAAGCACGGTTACATCGCTCGGGCGAGGAAGGTGTTCGAGAGAGCTATAGAGTTTTTTGGTGAGGAGCATATCAGCGAGAGCCTCTCCGTGGCTTTTGCTAGATTCGAGGAGAAGCAGAAAGAGGTATGACTTCCTGCGTTCATGTCCCTTCTGCTGTTTCCTGTTCAGACCTGACCGTTCGCTTTTTGTCTTTTAGTTTGAGAGAGTTCGTGTCATCTATAAATACGCTTTGGACAGAATCCCCAAGCAACAGGCCCAGGAGCTGTTTAAGAACTACACCGTGTTTGAGAAGCGGTTTGGAGACAGGAGAGGAATCGAGGATGTGATCGTCAGCAAAAGGAGGTTTCAGTATGAAGAGGAAGTCAAGGTGAGTAAAGCACGCTTGTATGTATGTTGATATTAACACTGTGTGTGTATATAAATTCAACTATATATATATATATATATATAGATAGATAGATAGATATAGATATTGTTAATTTCATTCTGCCTAGTACAGTATTTTTATGAATGCTTTGTAAATATTTGAATAAATGACTCCTTCAGGAGTATGTTAACCTTACACTATTAGTAACAACAAAATAAACAATTCAATTGTAATTATTTAAATGACCATTAATCCTTACTCAAAATTTCATAATACTTACTCTTAGTTCTGATTAAACAAACATCCTTTTGGTCTTTGTTAAAGCAAGTTGTAGTTTTAGCCTTTTGCAAAGCATCAGTATCTTACTTAATGACTCAGTGTTTCTTATTAACATAATTTTCTGCTGTATAGGCAAGCCCACACAATTATGATGCATGGTTTGATTACCTGCGGCTGGTGGAGAGTGACACCGATGCAGACACGGTTAGAGAAGTGTACGAGAGAGCCATAGCCAACATACCCCCCATCCAAGAAAAGAGACACTGGAGACGCTACATCTACCTGTGGATTAACTACGCTCTCTATGAGGAGCTGGAGGTCAAGGTATGATAGATGTCGGTGAGCTGAAGCATTCAGCATTCATTTGCTTGTACACATTTAGAATTAGAGTTTGATGTATTATGTTTTTGTCTGATTTGTTTAGGACCCTGAGAGAACGAGGCAGGTGTATCAAGCGTGTCTGGAGCTTATACCACACAAAAAGGTAAAACTGTCCTTCTTAATGGTGGTTAAAAACACTATTTACACAACCTCATGTCAGTTTTTAGTGAACCAGTCCTTAAGATGTTAATTCTGCCCCCTTTTTGCAACAGCTGAAAAAAAAAAAAAAAAATTGTGCTTGACACTGTATTTTATCTGTG